CTAGTCCTGAGCACCAGGTCCGGGCAGGATAGGATCAGAACAGTTGAAGAACCTTCCGACACTCCTCGTAAATACACTGGCTCGGCTCTTCACACGTTACCCGTCTGAATGCAAGGCCCCAACTCAGTGGAAGACCACCAAGACCATGTTATTGTTCAAGAAGGGTGACCTACACGATATCGGCAACTATCGCCCAATCTGCTCGTTGTCTGTCGTCTACAATTTTTCACTCGAGTCATTCTAAACAGGATTGGCAGAACACTGGACGAAGGACAGCCATGTGAGCAAGCAGGGTTTCGAAAAGGATTTAGTACGACGGACCACATCCACGTGACATAGTATCGCGAGAGTACAAAAGACCACTGTGTCTCACTTTCATCGAATTAAAGAAGGACTTTGACTCAACTGAGATAGAAGCAGTCATGGAAGCCGTTTGTAATCAAGGAGTCTATGCTCAGTACATAAAGATTCTTCGTGAACTGTACAAACATTTCACAACCAGGATATCACCATTCTACAACGATATTAACACTGACGTCAAAGAGGAGCTAGGCAGGGCAATATCACCTCGCCAAAATTGTTTACCGCCACCCTCCAGAGCGTCATGCGAACATTGGAATGGGGTAATATGGGAGTGAAAATCGACGGTCGACGGTTACACCATCTTCGCTTTGCTGATGACATCGTCCTTATAACACCAAACATTAGCCAAGCGGAACGTATGCTTGCCGATTTTGATAAATCCTGTGGAAAGATTGGTCTTCGACTAGATTTCACAAAAACGATGTTTATGAAGAACGGACAGGTTTCATATGGCCCATTACGCTCAACGGAAGGAATAACTCCGAATGCTCCAGTTATATCTATCTAGGTCAGAAAATCAATATGATGAACGACCTAGCTCCAGAGTTGAGCAGAAGGAAACGAGAGCCTTGGGGAGCTTTCAAGTGCATCGAGGATGTAGTGAAGAGAACAAAGAACACCCGATTCCGTGCCCAGTTTTTCGACTCAACGGTACTTCCTGCACTAACGTATGTGTCAGAAACCTGGTCGCTGCTTAAGCAGGATGAAAGATCACACAGCGTTATTGAATGCGCAGTCGAAAGGACGATGCTAGGAGTTTTCCGTTTCACACAAGTAAACAAAGGGAACCGAAGCTCCAACCTGCGTCAACGATCAAATATGAAAAATGCCTTTCTATACGCCAAATAGTCGAAGAGAAGGTGGACCGGACATGGAATGCGTGTGAATGGCAACCGTTGGACAAGAGCCGTTTATGAGTGAATTCCTCGGGTTGTTAAACGCACTGCAGGAAGACCACCGACTCGATGGTCAGAGTTCTTTACGAAAAGCCTAGAAGAAAGATATGATGCTCGACGAGTCCCTAGAGCGAGAAGAACCCACTGGGCTACTCTTGCACGCGACAGGGAAAAATAGATGATTTACTAGAGCTCGCTCTAGTCACTTGACGATCAACGGAACTACAGGTGATACAGGTGACAGTCCTGAGATTACTACGACATCACTGCTACAAGTGGTCAGAATAGCGAAACATATTTATATACATATATGTTTACCACTCTACTTTTCCACAATTCATTTGCGGTCATAAGTAGGATGTTAACATTCAGTATGCTGTCGGCAGATCAACAATACTCTAAGTACATTACGAGTCACTCATTGGTACGCACTTGTATACAAACACGCTTACATATACGTACACATACACATACGCACACATACACACTTGCACATACATGCACACACATACACATGCACACACATACACACAGCATACGTTTACTTCCGTACGATAACACGTATACAACACAACCGTAGCTGACGTTTCGGCAGAATCGCCTCCTTCAGAGCCTGGGAAGGGTACAGTGATTAATTTAGAATTTACTAAGAGCCGCTCATTAGCGTCACATATCGTTGACGACTGCACCTTCCCACATCAATGATCGATGCGAAGGGAAGGGGCAAGATTACGTGTGATCTCGCGGCATTCCTTCCTGCTGTTCATTGTAGCGTTTCTGGCATTTATCCAAAAAGCCTCAAGAAGCTTGCGCGCTAGTGTTTTTGGCACCCTCTGCTAGGACAGTGACTTTTGGCTTTTTTTGGAAGGAAAACTGGCTTCCATTTTCTGAACGTGCAAATTAGCCTATCAGAAAACGGCTACATTGCGAAGTGGTATCGAAAGCCAGGTAGTAAAAACATCCTGGTTCATTACCTCTCCTCTCACCCCTTCACACGAAAAGGACGCATGTGAGAAACATGTATCGAACAGCTACCAGCGTGTGCACAGGAAGACAGCTGAGAGAGGAGTCCCCGAACTTGGCGCGATAAATAGCCATTCTTAATGGCTACGGAACTGTAGCTCGAGGTAGGTGTAGAGGAAACCACAGGGATCCCAACGATAACTCTAGCGACGACAAAGTCCCTTCATTTTAAATGAAGTAAGTGCAGCTATAAAACGCTGTTTAAGAAGGGCCAGTCTAGAGAATTCGGTAACGATAATCGAAATACCACCGAGTACTCTAAGACGCCAGCTAGTTTGTAACCGCCTATACGACCGTCTATGTGCAACGCAAAATTGCATAACTGGCCCCAATGGTAGAGACGGTGACTGCATGAGCTCGGGTACAATTTATCTGATCTCCTGTAAGGCTTGCGGAAACCAGTACATTGGCGATACGGGCAGACCCCTCTGTGTCCGCATAAAAGAACACCTTGGCGGCAAGCGCAAACCAAATACCCCACTAGGCACGCATAGGACCCAGAGACATAGCGGGGAAGACTTTGAGACTTTGAAGCACGGGTCACGATCCTCGCACAAGAATCAAGAACCAGAAATCCGAAAATGAACCGCAGTGAAGAATGCCTCATTATCACGCGTGATATTGGGCAGTGTAGAAGCCTGTTATTCTGATGAGATGGGCACATTACGATTCCATGTGGATTCTGTCCGGTTGGTCTCCACGCGGCATACTCAGTGGAAAACTCATAGAAAGCGATGAGTGTGCAAAGAAGCCATTCTGTGTACAATGGTACTGAAATTTTGGTTTAGAGTTTCTCTGTTTGGTTATGGTGTCTGGTCGAATGGATTGCTAGCAACTTGACCTCTCCAGGCTCTGTGGAAGGCGAAATCCGCCGAAACGTCAGCTTATTCGTGAATAAAGAATAATAACACCTCGCGTTTGCTCAACAAAAATACAAAGAATTACAGAGATTTGTAGTGATCCATTATGTCCAGTTGCATTCGCTGCGTCCTGCCAGAAAACGTGATAACCTAAGCTTCTGTTCTTCAATGACGGCCATGTCACCTGGCTAACTGCCAAGCTCCGACGCCATCTCACTTAGCGATCTGCCAAACGCCGACGCCGTTGTCCCGCGTGAAAATTCAGAAGTAGGAGGTAAGCGGTTCAATTTTTTGTTTGACATTTCAATACTTTTGTTTGATCTTCAGAAGGAGAATGAAATATTTATTTATTTATTTATTCATTTAAGTTGCTAGAAGCTTGCAACATTGACACTGTATTGATGGCTCACTCGGTCTTGTTCCCGGTCTCACCAAGCCTTCTAACCCTTTGCTGAATCGGGCTATCGGACTTCTCTGGGAGGGCAAAAATACTGATGGAATACAGTGCTCGACGGAATAGTAGGATTCATGAAGGATACCTCAGGGATTGGTGAACGCCGAACACATTATGCATTTTTTTTTGAAATAGGAATGCTGCTGAAAACAACAAGATTTGTTTAGTACCGGCTAACACTTCAGCGGTTTCCGTCACCACCAATTAAACGGAGGACATGCAAGGGGCAAAATCATTCTGGAAAAGGCAAAAGAGACCAGTACTAAACAAGACTTGTTATTTACAGCATCTTGAACGATGTCATGGTCGAGGGAGTGTCTGAAACTGGGCTCGGCTTCAGCTCAGTTGCACGCACTTGGTGTTGACTGATCACTGGTGCGAGACACACTCTAGAAACAAGCGCCACAAGAAATGGTGATACTAGGGAAGAACCGAAGACCAGAAAACCTGGTGGAAAACGACGCACTTTACCAAGTGAAGCAGCTTTCACACAAAGATGTCAACAATCCTTGGAAGAAGTCACGGACAACCTAGGCACACACACGTTGTGATCTACCCCTGCGACCACGACCAACAGTATTCGAAACAATTCGCTTCAGAACGTTTTTGCTCAGGACAACTGAGTTCCTGAAGAGTAGCATATGGGTGAAACCGGAACCGATCAACCCTACATTCATTTCAGTACTAAGTGAATACAAACAAGACAGAATTCAACATTTATTTTATGGGTTTATAACAAGCTATGCGCTCGACAGCATTTGTGGCCCTAAAGAGGGCCATTGGGTTAGGCTGATGCCTCACGGCGAACAATTTATTCCTTCTCTCCTCCGGTCTTCTTGGGCAGAAGAACAGCTTGGATGTTGGGAAGAACTCCTCCTTGAGCGATCGTCACCCTCGAAAGCAGTTTGTTGAGCTCTTCGTCGTTACGCACAGCGAGCTGGAGATGGCGGGGGTTGATGCGATTCTTCTTGTTGTCACGGGCCGCATTGCCTGCCAATTCTAATACCTCAGCGGCGAGGTACTCCAGTACGGCAGCCAGGTACACCGGGGCACCCCCTCCAATACGAGCAGCATAGTTCCCTTTGCGAAACATACGATGAAGCCGACCGACGGGGAACTGCAACCCGGCGCGCGCCGAACGGGACTTCGATTTGCCTCCGGTCTTCGCTTTACCTCCTTTGCCACGGCCAGACATGATGAGGACTCTACAGGACGAACAACCACTGATAGTAACGTGGGCCCACCTCACTCTGTTAAAAGAGACGTTGCACACTGAAACCGCCCACTCGCAGGCGGAGCAGGCCACACGGGCGAAGGCGGGGAATGCGCATTACGTCGGTGTAAGATGGACGTCATTTGGAACGTCCTTCATCCACCGACCATCCAGTGAGCGTTCAAGCCGTCATGCCACCCAAGCCGCCAGCCAAGGGAGCGAAAAAAGCCGCTAAGAGTCAGAAGGCCATCCGTGCCGGGGACAAGAAGAAGAGGCATCGTCGGAAGGAGAGCTATTCTGTCTTCATCTACCGCGTACTCAAGCAGGTCCATCCCGACACGGGAGTGTCGTCAAGCGCGATGTCGATCATGAACTCGTTTGTGAACGANGACCGACGGGGAACTGCAACCCGGCGCGCGCCGAACGGGACTTCGATTTGCCTCCGGTCTTCGCTTTACCTCCTTTGCCACGGCCAGACATGATGAGGACTCTACAGGACGAACAACCACTGATAGTAACGTGGGCCCACCTCACTCTGTTAAAAGAGACGTTGCGCACTGAAACCGCCCACTCGCGGGCGGAGCAGGCCACACGGGCGAAGGCGGGGAATGCGCATTACGTCGGTATAAGATGGACGTCATTTGGGACGTCCTTCATCCACCGACCATCCAGTGAGCGTTCAAGCCGTCATGCCACCCAAGCCGCCAGCCAAGGGAGCGAAAAAAGCCGCTAAGAGTCAGAAGGCCATCCGTGCCGGGGACAAGAAGAAGAGGCATCGTCGGAAGGAGAGCTATGCGGTCTTCATCTACCGCGTACTCAAGCAGGTTCATCCCGACACGGGAGTGTCGTCAAGGGCGATGTCGATCATGAACTCGTTTGTGAACGACGTCTTCGAACGTATTGCCGCTGAGGCTTCGCGTCTTGCGCACTACAACAAACGATCGACCATCTCCTCCCGCGAAATCCAGACCGCAGTCAGACTGATCCTCCCAGGAGAGCTCGCCAAGCACGCCGTTTCCGAGGGCACGAAGGCCGTTACCAAGTACACTTCAAGCAAGTGAACTGCTCAACTTCCGTGCACACAACTAATCCAACGGCCCTCTTTAGGGCCACAATTGCAATCGAGTTCGCGAATTTTGACAATAACTGTTAACCACGAATAAAGTGTTTTCATGTGTCGATGGAGTTCGAATTGTGCGTGTTGAATCTCTACAGGACGAATAGCCTAGCGATGCAGCCTAGGTACGCGATTTAATCGATAAAAGCGCACGCAATTTCGTCAAGAAGGACTTTGTTAACCAACACAACCGCATTCAAAGAACATATTGAAGACGGAGTTGTGCTCCTTTCAGATAGGAAATGACACATTTTCCAGTGGAATTCAGACCCATTCCTCGGACCTTCAGACGACCACGGGTGACCCGCGTTAGACGCTCCGTGTTCGAAACATTGTGGCGTGGGCTTTTGGCAGAGATCCGAATGGCGTGTCCAAGGTTGAAAAACAAATGCAGTTGGCATTGTGAATGGCAGCGTTGTGAAACCGAGCGGATTGTTCACTACTGATGGACTTCCTTGCTACTCAGTATTCATTGCACTGAACACGGTTTGTTCAGTGGTGTAGCTCATCAAGACCGACTTTTGAGTGCCGTAATGAACGTTGGCAGAGATCGTGCAAAAGAAGCGTTCGACGGTACGGAATAATTCTGCTCTATAGTTGATTTTGACTGATTAGAATCAGGTGGCTGAACACCGTTCCTTTGAGGCTTCTCGGATATTGATAATGATTTACCATTTTGACGACGACGAGAGACTGGTTTCTGGCATTGCCTAAAGTCCTCCTCCGGATTACCTTTAGCTTTCCTCACGCAGAAGTTGCGTGAGAGGCGATAACGCCGAGCGACTGTGTCACGACGCATCGAAGCCGGACGGTTTTGACCGTTCTTTCGGAAGATCAGGTTACTGGAGTTGAAATACCAAACGCTCATCAAGAGAGAGTTGGTAAACGAAATAGAACCATATGAAAATGTTCTACTTTGTGGAAGCATTGCAAAAAGTCTTTTTTCTTTAATTAACAAGTGCTATTTAATGCCGTCAATTCATGGCTCTCGATATTATGCATTCTTTTCGGGACCGCTTTTTACCGACAATGAATCATTAATGCAGGAACTTGAAAGTCTTTTTTCGGTCAAAACGATACCTTCGAAACCGAGACGATCCAGCAGCATTTCATTTTTGATGATAAACTAAACACAAAAGTTGTCATCACTTCTTTACCCGCTCGCATTCGCTTCTTCCATTTGCGCTTCTCCTCCATGAGCTAGTGGTCTTTGTTCCGCAATTCGCGCATTCAATATTTTCACTCACGACAGCCTAAAAATGGATGGCATCCAATTTTTCCACTAACAGATAGGGAACGATGAACACATGATTGCTGGAAGTGGTCACCATTCAATTATTTCGTTTGAGCTAGTTGCAGATCGGGAGCGTGCATCAGTTTTGCGTTCATGATGGATATTCGAAGAATTGGGCATTTTCATATAATTCTTTAAAGAGCACATTGTCCTCTCGAAGGTTCATTCCGATAAAACAGGAGAGCAACTCTGCGAAATTGAATAAATCCTATGAAGACTGCAGCGTATCTATTGTGATATGACCAACGGAAAAGTTGCACACTTTTTGTATGGCACTGTTCGATCAGGTTTCGGGAAAAAAGCTCTAAGTACATAACATCATCTCCTGCTTGTAATCCAGCAAAATCTAAGCTTTAGAAATATTCGTCTCTTCGACAGTAACCTTAAAGAGTTCAAATTCTTCAGATGCCTTCTTTACTTTTTCAAAATCATATATAGATGGATATAGACTACATCTCAGCTGCTGGACCACTGAAAAAGGTTTGCAGCCGTGCACAGCTTCGAAATTTTCACTTCCGAAAAAAGTATGTGGACAATGAAACCAGTATTCGTTCATTCCAGTGTTTTCAATATGGCGCCAGCTAATGTTGAAAATATACGCTTGCTGAGATTTTCGCTTCCCACTTCTTCTTTAAGCACGCATTGCTTAGTGGTTGTAGTCACTGATCAATACATATCCCCTAGAACTTTTTCTGGGCACAAAAGCTCCTTCCGAAGAACTCCTTCAATCAAACAGAGGACTTCTTCGCAGACGCGTTGATCCTACCATATTCCTGTCAAAGGGAACACAGAAGCTTTCTTAAATTTTGGTGCACAACGATCGTTTTTTTAACTAACCATCATTTGTCCTTCGTGTAAGCCTCACCGGGAAGGCAGGATACAGTTGTCAGCCCTAATTCACCAATGGAAGCACTTCGTACACAGATAAAATGGCCGGGAGCAACATAACGCAGTCGTTAGCGAATAAAGTCTTAGCTTAACTCTACACTAATCAACTTTAACTATTGCGACTTTACATTTTCAAAACTTGTGAACCTACAATGATCACCTTGCACTCGGCATTTACTCTACACTTACTCTACACATTTACATTTACGCATTTATTGTTCATATTAGTACAAGCCGCCACACATCGTCACTCTTTAGGTCACCGAGTTACAGCTCAGTCATTATATAATCCCCACAACAACAGGGCCCACAGCACTACAACACTTCACTACAACAACATCCAACCATTTATTCAAAGAACAAGCAAAAATGTATCCAAAACCTTTCAGTTGTGGCCCTAAAGAGGGCCGTTGGGTTAAGACCAGATTAGACTTGTATGCAGTCGCCAAGCCTCGTTCTCCTTTAATCCGGCGGGCTACTTGGATGTCCTTCGGCATGGCAGTGACGCGTTTCGCATGGATTGCACACAGGTTCGTGTCCACAGACAATCCAACGAGATAAACCCCTGAAACTTCCTGAAGAGCCATCACAGCCGAGAACTGGCAATGCAAGTTGGTTTTGAGATCTTGCGCAATCTGTCCCACAGGACCTTGGAACGGCAATTTCCGGACCATCAACTCCGTCGATTTCTGGTGTCGACGAATCCCTCGCAGAGCGACGGTTCCAGGACGATAGCGATGCGGCTTCTTCGGCGGCCGGTGCCGACTATCTAGCAGCCTTCGTGGCTAGCTGCTTGCGTGGCGCCTTCCCTCCGGTCGACTTGCGCGCGGTCTGCTTGGTACGAGCCATCTCGAATCGGTTGCTCGCAAACGATATAGTGTCTGCGGCCGTCCCTTTAATAGAGCAATGCTGGGGGGCGGGGCCTACTTGCTACGGTTACATCGTCTGGGGCGGCTTGGCATAGCTGTGGTGCTACAATGGACCGCTTTCGCGTATTTGGAAAAGTTAAGACGATTTCAAAGCAGAACGAGAGAGAGAGAGAGAGGGAGAGAGGGAGAGAGGGAGAGAGGGAGAGAGAGAGAGTAATGGTAATCCACAGCGGTACGTCCATAACACGGGACTACGCCAATTGAATAGAAAACAATGAACTTGTTTGCACTTTTACCGCTTTAAAATATTGGTTAGCCAAAAATTAAGATGGATCTCTCTCATGGGTAATAATAAAGCCGTTTTATTATGACACAGAGGCTCCGTGAAATGGTTGGGTTTATTCCGACAGCGCTTCAGTTACGATTGTGGAAAGCTCGAAAGATTCGCTATAGGAAGATTCCTAAGAACCCAAGTAGAAGTTTTTAATTGTCACAGGAATTGACTAGAAAGTCTCCGATGGTCCCCTGCTTGCTGAATAGGTTACTGTGATTTCAGATATTTCAGCGCAAACTTTGCAATTTGACGCGCTTTCTTTTAAAGCCATGTTGGCCCCAACCCAGTTGCCCGTAGTCGCTATCGATTGACTACAGTGCGAAAAGTGCTATTTATTCAGTAAACACTACTTAAAACGGTGGTTATAGGAAAATACGTAAAAGAAAATCTTGGCAAAACTCCATTTGTTTTCGGCTCTAGTATTTGACAGATATGAAGGAAGTTGTGGTTCATTCATTTTGTAAAAGTTCCATCCCTTATCCTTTAGTATTTGACCCTCGAGATAACTTCGCTTAGAATTCATTAGCAGATTTTCAAACATATACCAACACAGCTATTGCAACTGCGTATCTTCCAATGAACATCGCTCTTCGTGTTGATTCCTGTTCAGTGTAACTTCCACTGTACGACGCTAATCTGTGGCAGTGCCTTACGTCCATTTTTGTGCGTTACATTTCCCTAGAAAACACATTACAGCGATCTGAGTGCCCGCTTCACATTGAAAGTCATGTCACTTGGCGACCCGCCAGACGCCGACGCCGACGCCGCTGTTCCGCGCCAAAATTCAAACGTGCCGGATCTCGTGCGATATGTGGGCGACCTGTACTCACGCAGTGGCGCGACATAGTGCCACATCGAAAAGTGGGTCAAACAACAAGCTTGCCTCTTTACGAGCACTGGAGCTGACCAACAATTTATTTGCGTTTTCAATGAACTGGTAGGAGTTTGTTGAAATACAAAGTTGTGCAGTAGCAAAGCAG